TTTGTGGTAGTGGGGGACTGCGTTCGCGCTCTCCCCTGGCAACTGGTTTGGAAAAAAAGAAAAGTTTCTGGGATTGCTGTTTAGTGGCTTTAATGTTCTTCCTTGGTGGGTGCACCCTGAAGCTGTGTCCTTAGTTCTTGGAGGAGGGGCTTTTCTCACGTGTCTTTCTGACTGCCCTGTTCTGCAGCTTGTTCTCGAGAGGAAGGCTTGGTCTGTGGGGAGCTGCCATTTGCTAGTCTCTAAGGTGCCACAAGTACTCCTGTTCTTTTTGCGGATACAGACTAACACAGCTGCTACTCTGAAACCTAGCTACTTTGGTCTCCTTTGCGCTGCTTGGAAGTAGCTCTTGGCACCTTTGTCATTCCCACTGGTGATGGGTCCAACAGAGAGGAAAGCAAAGCTCAGCTCGCAGGCTTTGGCTTTGGCTTAGAACACTCTCTGCTTTCTTCTGCTCTGTTCGTCGGAGGTCAGGCTGCTTTGTGGCTTTCCTGTCCTTCCCTGGGCTTTTACGTCTGGCCTGCTCTCTAGTCTGCCTTGGGGGGGGGGGGGGGGGGGGGGGGCTTGGACCAGTGCTTTCTTTTGCCCTTAGGGGAACTGCCTGGCTGCTCTGCCTCTTTCCCTGCTTGCAGCTTTTTGCCTGTCCCTCCTTCTTGGGCTCTTCCTCCTTTGATGGGAGCACGGCCTGTCAAAAACGCCTGTCCCACCTGGTCCCCTCGTCCAACATGCAGGCTCGCCCCCTGCCCTGGGGCCGCTTTGGCTTTTGCTGTCTGTTCCTGTCTCTTGGGGGACTCCCGTCGTCTGTGCGACGGAGAGTAGGCTGGCACGACCCCATGGCGGAGGAGGTCTTTCCGTCGCTTTAGGCCCACCGCCTCCCCGAATGCCCTTAGCTATGCTGGGGGTTAGGTCGGCGTGGCCGTGTCGCCCAGGAGCGGGTTTCCCTTTGGCACACCCCCTGACGGACGGAGCTGTTTCGACTTAACTGGTCAGCACGCACCAACCCTCAGGCCTAGTCTGCGCGGGGAACGTGAGTCGGCACAGCTACATCAGTCCCCGCCGTGGACGGAAGAATTCTTCCGTCGACCTCGCTCCCGCCTTTCGGGGAGGTGGATGGCCTGTGCCGACGAGAAAAACCCGATGATATTTTCTGTCTTAATGATTCCCAACACTCCGCTGCACATTGAGTGGATGTTTTCAGAGAACTTTCCACAACGACTCCTGGATCTCTTTCTTGAGTGGTAACAGCTAATTTAGACCCCATTGTTTTATAGGGATAGTTGGGATTATGTTTTCCAATGTGCATTACTTTGCATTTATCGGCACCGACGTCCATCTGCCGTTTTGTTGCCCAGTCACCCAGTTTGGTGAGATCTCTTTGTGGCTCTTCGCAGTCTGCCTGGGACTTAACTATCTTGAGCAATGTTGTCATTTTGCCACCTCACTGTTTACCTCTTTCCTCAGACCATTTAGGACTAAGTTGAACAGTGCTGGTCCCAGTACAGACACCTGGGGATAAGAGGGAAGATCCTCTTCTGACACTGGCAGACCAGGTGCCAGCTCATGCCAAGGCCCCTAGGCCTTACTGAGAAGTGACAAACGCATGGCTGGAAACTAGTCTTGCTCACCTGTTTGTCAATGTTGTTAAAACAGGCATGAGATTTATAAAAATGTGTTTCGTGTTTAGATTTTACGAAAAGCTTGTGAGTTGCTGCATGCAATTATTCTCACCTATAATAGCCGTATCCCATGTTATAAGGTGATCTATAAGCGTTGAGTTTACTAAAACTGTAAACCCCCTTGCCGCCACCCCGCCACCAGTCAGGAGCGAAGCATTACCAAGTGTGAAATGCTAGTTTACCAGAAGAGGCGACATCTCCTTGCCAACCAGAGAAGGCCCTGAGACATCAGACAAGCCACTGTGGATCACCCGTGGACAAAAGACTCGGTTGATTGCTCCCCCTCACACACCCATCCACACCCGCGAGGAGGCGGAGACCTGCACAAAGACTTGCCCCCATCATCTTGAGCTCTGGGGGAATGGAATAAAAATCTCTGTCAAGAAGAAACTGTTGTCCCCCCGGATGCTGCTTGGACTTCAGGGAGACGGCACGCCTTCTAAGCATAAGCAAGGGAGCCCGGCTGTTTGGCTAGGGTTAGCCCTAAGGGACATAAAGAGCTTGCGTGTTACAGCAGCTTCTACTACACCTGGGTGGCAAGATAGAGTCAGGGTGCCCAAGGGGGCTGTCTGTGACTCCATGTTCAGGCTGTCCTAGTGCCTGAGGAGTTCACACTTCATACTTGGCGGGTGAAATCGAAGTGCAGAACACACAACCGTGAGGAGCTCCTTCTCTCTGGGGCAGTGGCTGCACTAGAAAGGTACATTTCTAGCTTGCCTGGTTCAGAAAACCGGAAGGGAAATAAAGAGAACCCACGTTACATTTTTTAAAAAAAGAATCCTCATGATTTGTAAGCCACTGTCGTGAATTTGGGGAGTCTGACTCATGATTTTCCAAGAGTGAGGGTGGCAACACTGAGAAGGTAAGGGTTATTATTTAGCATTTAGATTACAGTAGGTTTGGGGGGGAGGAAATCAGGATCGGGACCCCTGTTAGCCGGGTGCAGCACGACACCTAGTGCCTTGTCTTGATCTTACGAACCAAGATACATAGAACGTAGGCCGGGTGGGGAGAAGGCTATGTAACTCATGCAGTTGTTGATATACGTGTGACCTCAAATATTACCAACCGCCCCCCCCAAAAAACAAACAAACAAACAAAAAACCAACCAACCATCTCCCCAACAGACCCAGAGTCTGGAAAGTATTTGTCCCTCATGCTGTCGAAAAGACTCACAGCAGAAAAAAGGATCCCAGCTTCTTAAATAATCGTCTAGCAAGACAAAGAACAGCCTCACGTCTATTGACACACAAAACACTCCCAAGAAATTGTAACACTAGTTTGTTTATCATAAAGAAACCAAAGCGCGAAAGGCTTCAGATTTTTCCGCTACTTCCAAAAATCTCCTTTAAAGAAGCACCATCCCAGTTTTCTGTTTTTCTAACCAGAAGATTCTCCTCCAAAAAGGAGATGCACCATTCCTGGAGACACTGCAATACCAGGTCGATGCATAGGGCAGACTGAGCAAGCTGCGAGTCTAGCCCCCTGTTCTAAAAATTAATTTAATATACAGTCCTCAAATAAAGGACTTTTCAGATATTAAACTGATAAGAACAGGTACTACGCTTGATCTTAGCTCAAAGAGCCGAGAAGCAATGCTGAAACTCTGCGACGCACACACACCCCTGCACCCAACGATTTCTATCTCACCCTGACGAGCTCCCAGACACGCAACAAACACCATCACTAGGGAACTCTAAGTGAGGGTCACTTCCCCGAAATGACTCCAGTGGAAGAATTCAAAGCAAGAGCCCTTAACACACAATTCTGTTCAAAGACAGACAAGTCTTGCAGACGCCTTCCTCTCGCTGGTTTCCCTGTATACTCCTAATTTGCA